CGGGACTGGCCAGCCTCCGGCTCCCACAACGGGCTAGTTCAGAAGCCGGCACGGCTCGCCCCCGGCCCCGACCCGGCGCCCTCTGCCCCTTCCGCTCCCAGCCGGGCACGGACCTGCGCCACCCGCGAGGGCTGGAAGGCACTGGAAGCGCCGCCGGGGGCTGCCCAGAGGCCGGGCCCCCAGCTCCACTTTGCGCAAACTTGTTTTTCTAAGGTCAGCGCCGCGAGCTGGCTACATCGTCCTCTTAAGGTGGACCGGGGAAATTGTGGCCGACCTCCCCTCGCCTTCAGACGCCCGCCGCGGTTAGTCCGGCTTCCCGGGGGCCAGAGGCTGGAGGCGGCGAAAGAGTCGGGGCGTGAGCGGCGGGGGTGGCGGAGTGTCTGCCTTTGGCCCCTCCCCGAGTGGCCCTGCCCCTGAGCCCCAAAGCTGAATGCCCCTCTCGGGAGGGGTGGGGGTGCGGGCCAGAGGGGCCCGAATCTTTCAGGGCTGGGCCGAGGTGAAGGAAAAGCAGGAAGTAAGTGAATGTAGGGGGAAGGGGAGAGGAAGAGAGTGATGGTACAAAAATAGCGTGTGTGTAGGAAGGACTTCAGTACTGCCTGGAAAAGAGGCGCAGGGAAGAGAGGGAGCGGGAAGGGGGCTGTCGCTGGGAAGGGCCAGGGGCCTCCCGGGGAAGGGGCAACTCTCTCTCCTGGTTCCTCTTTGCCTCAGAAGGCACAATCATGGGGTAGGGAAGGCCCAGGCAGGGGTGTGGGGGCCGGACACTTGAAGGCCTGGGCTCCAGGAAAATGACAGGCAGTGGGGAAGGTGAGGGGGCAGGATGCCCTGGGCAGGAGGCCTGGAGTTGGAGAGAACAGAAGCCCCCTTGGAAAAAGCAATCATGCCCCTTCTCTTGAGGGAACACTGTGTCCCCAGTAGCAGCCAGGTCGGTGATGGAAAGAGAAATGCTGTGGTCATCTGGCCAAAGAAGGCTTGGCACTTCAGGGAGAAAAGAGTTCAAGACCCTTTGCTAATTGGAGGGTTTTTGAGTTGGAAATAAGCTCGAGATGACCAATTTTGCTTCACATGGTGGCAGTTAAGAGGATATAAATGAGGCAAGGTGGCAGAAAGCCCAGCCCTGAGAGCTAAAGCCCAGAGAGGGAGTAGACTCACCCAAGGCCACACAGCAAGACTTGGGAATAAGATTTGAACTCCCAATTCCCAAGCTAAAGGCCTGTTTGAAGTGACCCCCAACTCCCACCCTAGTCTTGTGGTCAAATGCCTGGTTGTGCTGTGGTGCTTAGATGGGAGGCAGGCAACATGGAGCTCTTTCAAGCATGGACCAAGCTCTCTGAGTTCAAATCTTTCTGCCACCTGTTGTGTGCTGTGTGTACTTGTCAAATGCCTTTATGTCTTTTGTGCCTCAGCTTACCCATCTGAAATGAGGGAAACATAAAGGCTATTGTGCGATGAATTATTATTTTTACAACACTTGCAAAAGAGCCGAGCACATACCAAGTGCACAGTAAGCATATGAGAAATAAGTGAAGTGTCTGCTAACAGTCCCTGGAACTCATAGGGTTCTGGACTGCATTTGCAGTGCAAGAGAATTTTTATTTCTTTGGATATGGGAGAGCACCACAATGACCCACACGAGGTCCTTGTCCCCGAGGGAGGGGAGACAGATACATAAGCAAGTAGAAATAATTAATGAGCATCTCAAGACTGAACTCAGACAGGTGAGCGCATTTAAATAAGGGGGCCAGGTCAGGCCTCCCTAAGAAGCAGGGATCTGAGGCACGTGAAGGGACAACAAAGTGAAGATTTGGGGAGAAAGATATTCTAGGAAGAGGGACCAGGTAAAGGCCCCAAGACCAACTTGGCTGGAGAAGAAAGAGTGCAGGATGGAGGAAGGATGGTCCAGCTGGCAGCTGGGTGGCCTTAAAGGCCTAGGTTTATCTGCGTTTATTCTGCAGATGGGAAACCACTGGAAGGTTTTTAGCAGGGGAGGGCTGTGGTCAAATTTATGTGCTATAAGGGCCACGCTGAGAGTAGAGAGTGGACTGGAGGGACCGGAATGTGGAATTGGGCACCAGTGAGGAAGGACAGTGTTCTGGACTCATCCTAACATCTGAGGTGGGGTGCAGGGCAAGTCTTCAACTCCTCAGGCTCTATCTGGCCTGGACCATGAAGGTGACCAATGAGGCTCCTGGGAAAATCTGGTACCAGAGTCCATCTGGGGTGGGAGTGGGGCAGGGGCTGCTGATGAAGTCAGAGAAACAGCAGCCTCCTTCCCTGGGCTTCCAGAAAGCCCACCATTCCCCAAGAAACACACACACACAAACCTGCCTAGGATTAGGAAACTGGGGATTAGGGGAGGATAATAATTGAACCACCTGCTATTTATATATAGCACCTTTGGCAAAGGCGCTCAGCGGGGCTTCCCAGTACGGCCTTTTTCATCCTTCTTTCTGTACCAGAAGGAGGCCCTGAGCCTTGTTCTCTGTCCACATAAAAAAATCACCCTTGGTCAACCTCAAGGCTGAGAGGTCACTGAGACCAATGGGCAGATGAGCAGACTGAGGCAGGGGACAACTTACCTGAGGTCACATAGATCATGGCAGATAAGTCAGGTGAATCAGCCACCCCCATAGCAGGTGGTCTGGGATGCCCTAGGCTGAAATTGAACTGCCTTCCTACATACATACATCCATCATTCATTCATCCATCTGTGTACCTACCAGGCACTAGGGGTACAGCAGTTGCAAAAGAAACCACAAAAATCCCTGCCTTCAAGGAGGTGACATTCTAGGGGGGAGAAACAAATCCTTAAGTCCAGTGTTTAGTCGGTCAGATGGAGATAGGTGCCATAGGATGATAAAGCAGGGAAGGGGCCCAGAGTGCAAATGAGAGAGCTGGATGCAATTTTCAAATCAGATCAGGGAAGGTCTCACTGAGGAGGAAAGATGGGAAGCCAGAGGTGGTGCCATCCCTGCATTTGCTCTCCCCTGTTCCTCGTGGAGGGCAATCTACCAGCACAGCTGCACCTCTCTCACCTGGGTGCCCTATTGCCACCTGGTTCCTCCTGTCATCCCTCACTCAGCAGTCCAAGGAGTCCTTTTATGTATGTCAGATCACACGCCTTGCCTGTCATCCGGGGTCTGCTGGAAAGAAGACTAGAGTGAGCACGAGGAGAGGAGGATCAGGACCTTCCAAGCTGAGACTTTGCCAATTTGACTTATGCAACTTGGGCAAAAAATATTGGGGAGCTTCAGTCTCTTCATCTGTGAAACAGGAATAACGGGGACAACCCTGATACAAAGGGTCAGTGGTGGCACAGATGTGAAAGCAGCCACGTCAGGGACCCATCTGGAGTTTTGCTTCCGCAAGAGGGGAGATGGCGCCCTTGTGTGAGCCAGGCCCCTTGATAGTCATCATCTCACTGAAGCCTCAGCAGCTCCACTGGGTTCCTACAGGTAAGGAAGCAGGCCCAGGAACAGAATGCGACTTGGCCAGGGCCACTCTTTTGGGGAGCAATGGCACCTGCGTGGCCCCAGCTTTGGCCCTGCCCACGCTCTGCTCCCAGAACCCTGGGCTGGCGTCAGCAGGCAGGCCCGCCAGGCTGCCTTTGTGTGGGGCCTGTCAGGAGACTGGAGCTGCCAACGACCTATTTTTCTGGGCAAGAAGAGCCATTTGGAGTTAGAAGCCTCAGCTGTGAAGCCAGAACAATAAAAATAAAAACAGCATGGACTCCTGGGCAGACCGGACCAGGGAACCGACTGCCCTGAGAGCAGCTGCTGACAAGGCTGGAGGGACAGTGCGGTGGGAGATGGGAGTGACCTTACTAAGCCCTGGCATGTCCTTTGACCCTTATGTAGGTTCCCTCCAAGGCTCACAATAACCCCTGTTGGGGTGGCTGTCATCATTCCCATTTTATGGCAGTGGAAGCTGAGGCTCACTGAGGGATGGAGAGACCTATCCAAGACATATAGCTAGTGGGTGGCTGAACCAGTCAGGATTTGAACTCAGGTTCGACAAAACAAAACAAAAAAACAGCTAGGGGGCAGTACCTGTGGCTCAAGGGATTAGGGCGCTGGCCCCATATGCTGGAGGTGGTGAGTTCAAACCCAGCCCTGGCCAAAAGAAGCAGCTAGCATTTGTTTAGCATCTCCAATGCTTTACAGGGTGTTCCTGTAACATATTCATACCACACTTGGCAGGGGGGCAGTAATCCCCTAACTTTACAGGTGAGAAAGCTTGAGACTCTGAGAGGCCTTTGCTCACTTGCCAGACTACTTGGTGGGAATAGTCACCTCCACCCCTGCCCCAGTATGCCCTGTCCTCTTCCCTACTTTATTTTGACTTCATAGCATGCATCAAGACTGGCCAGTATGTCTTTATTGTATCTTGTCCAGGCCAGTCCAGCCCAACAGCTCAAAATCCAGCACTCTCTCAGATGGGGCAGGTTACTCTGATGATCTGAATGCCTCACTTGCCAAGATTGGGGTAATGATAGGACTGTACCTAAAAGGTTTCTTGTAAGGATTAAACAAATTAATATATGTAAAGATGTTGGCTATCACCATTGTTTTTTCACAGAGCTGTAGCCCTAGGGCCTTCAACAGTGAATAGTAGGTTGCCAATAATATGTTTTAAATAAATAAAGTGATCTGCTGAAGATCACAGGAAGGAATCTGAAGAGGCTGGATTTGAAAGCAGGTCTCTCCGAGCCTGTGCTGCAGCCTAACATACTTTATAATCACTTCCCTATAGACCCCGCCCTTCCACCACAGCTGTGCAGTAATCAGAGCTGTGTTTCTCCAACTTGAGTGGGTACAAACGTTGCCTGGAGGGTACCAGGGCTGGACCCCAGAGTGTCCCAGGACCCCACCCCAAGAGTGTCTGAATCAGTAGGTCTTAGGTAATTCAGAGAATTTGCATTTCTAACAAGGTCCCAGGTGATGCTGACCCTGCTGATCCAGGGATCACACTTTGAGAACCACTTGAATGGATTGCCTTCAGTCCAAGGTGGGAATCATATGCCCCAGCTTCCCTATTGGTGGTTCTGTCAATTGCTCTGGTTCCTGTCTGAGTAAGAAGGCAGAGGGCAGGATAGCACCTGCTCAGAGGCTGCAGCCAGCACTCCAAAGCTGAAGGGCTGTGACAGATCCCAGGGCCAGGGCCTGGGGGAGTCTTACTGTAATTAGTGTTTTCCCCGGGAAGTCAGAGACTAAGCAACTTGGCAAGCAAGCAGGCAGCTCGCCTGAGCTCTTCAGGGGCGGGACCACACTGTCAGGCCCTAAGCACTGTTCTCTGGCTCTAAGGATCTGGCTCCTCCCAGAGCTGAGCCCAGCTGTGCTGAGCTGAGCCTCCCCCAACACCTCTGGGAGGGGGTCCCCTACTGGATGGTGATGCTAAGGCAGAGAGCTGACTGCCTCAGCCTGCATTGAGAGCCCTGGGTTCGAGTGCT